CTTTGAAAAAAGAAAAATTACGTTTTCCTGATAATTTCAGTTAATAAAAGCTCGTGATCACGGTACTTTTGTGTTATTTTCGTATTAAAGACGTCTGGTTTCTTGGTCGACGATTCGAAAATTTTATTTTAGCTACTCGACGATAATATACGAGTATGTGCGCGTTCAAAGAAGAACAAGATTAAAAAAAAAAGGAAAAAAAGAAGAGTGATCTAAAGTCAGAGCGGAGGAGGCGCTGGATTCGGCGAATATTTCACGAATGTCCATAAAAACTAAAGCAGGGGGGGGGGATTGATTACTTTCCAAGAAGGCTCGAGAGATAAGATCGGGAGTAAACATCGTCCAGATGGAGAACATCGCGAAGAATTCGTTTCCTAAAATGCTCGATGCGAAGTGAGTAGACCGCTTGTCCGATCGTCGAACTATCAAGGAAATGAATCATTAAATGAACAAGGGTCGTGGCAGAGATTAAGATTAATTGCCGGAGATGTCAAATCGAATCCCGTGATGATCCATGAATATGAAGGATGATACATAATTACGGTATCACGAGGAAGAGGCATGGTAAAAATGTGGAAACATTTAGAATAATTAGAATAGATTAGAAATAATATTTATCTCTAGAGATAAAAAAAAAATTATTCGTTGAAAAGAATATGATTCATAATTGTGAGATTTAGAAAAATTTGGAATAGTTGTAAATCTTATCTCGAGATAAAAAAATTATTTATTGTGTAGAAAGTCGTTTATCTATCCATAAATATAAAGAAATATCTATAAGAGATTTAGAAAAATTTAGAATAGTTATAATGTATAGATTTGAAATAATATTTATCTCGAGATAAAGAAAGAAAGGTATTTTAGAAAGTACTTTATCTATTACTGCTTGAAATTATCTACAAATGATAGATTCTGTTCTGTTGTAGATAGAGAAGAATGAACTGATTTTACTTGTGACTATTGTTGAAATTTCTCTGCTTAATACGAATCGTGACAAATAAATAACAAATAAAGTTCAAAATCCATACATTCCCGAATATAAATATTTACGCAAACTATTTTTAAGTTTTACGATTAAAAAAAAGAAAAATAAAAACAAAAATAATTTAATACCAAAGAATTTTTTAAGATGTTTAGTACAGGCTTCAACTATTCCGTCTAACATCAATCGCCCTAGTTTCACAAAGCTAGAGACTTTGTTATGACTTCGTGACATTATGATATTATGCCCCTGTTCTGTCATCGGATGACAACAGACTTAACACCGCCTGCTTTCAAACGTAAATACGTTATTCGATTTGATCGAATGACTCACGCTCTATCTCTCATCTTATCGCCAGTTCTGTATTTCTAAAACTTCGTAGACACCCGTTCGAACTTTCATAAATTCATTCTTTCAAAAATACATCCATTTACCATCTTTGAACTTTTCACGTATAATAACACTCTTTATCTACATGTTGTTGATATAACCATCTGTAATACTCGATGTCTAGAAGAGACTTAAAAATAATGAGACATACACAAAAATATCGCTTGAAACTTGCTTAGTTAAGTTACAAGCAATTGAGGTTTACATTGGTATTTATCTCTTATCGTTTCATTTGTTTGATTTAATAAATAAACTAACGATCATCTTTTACATCTTATTATAATCGATAAAACTAACCTCTAAAGATGTTCCACGAATATATCAACACTTTGTGTATTTCTCTAATTGATCAACAAAACCTATTTTTTTTTTTTTTTCAATGATCATTAGACAAATGCCCCGTTCGAAAAATAATTTTACAACGCATTCCTAAACATCCGCCTTGTTCTCTGAAATACGTTCGAACGATCACGTTCCCACATACCGATCGAGTTTCCACAGCGGGAAGCGGTTCGTTGGAAGAAGAGGGATACGATAAAGGTTAAACGACTCCGTTATACACCGAATACAATTAGGTCAAATTACGTCAAAATGAGACGGAATGGGGCGAGAGTGAAATTCGATTAAGAGCGAGGTAGGGACGAATCGCATAGGGGCCGATGATCGGAATGTAAGCGCGAACGAGAGTGAAATCCTATCGATCGAACGAATCGAGAAGCCTGATTAGAGTGAAATTAGATGCGACGCACCGGCGAGAAGATGGACGATAAACGACGAACGTAAATGGCACACGGAATTAACGTCTCGTCGCGGGGCGTCTCGTCGAAAGGATTAAGCGAGACGGAATTAAATTAAACGGAGAAGGATCGAGAGATGTTGAAATGAAGAAAAAATTTTCGGAAAATTTCACGCAAATTCGATCGAAAAGATTGTTGCAATCTAATATTATAATCTAATATCTGTTGCGAATTATTGTGATGCTATTGTAATTCTATCATTGGTTATCGCAGTCGTGCGATAAAGAAATGTTTAAAAAAAATCGGGAAGAGTGGGTGGAAGAGCGTTTTATTCTCCGGCAGCTGTTCCTCAATTGTGCCCGCCATTACGAAAGCCTCCTCCGTCGGTATCGCTGACCTCGTTATTGTTGTCTATTTAGCGGAGAAACTTACCACGGGAACGAATTCGTGGGACGTTTCAGAGAGAATATATTTTCATAATAAAATAAACTATTCGAATACGAATTTTAATCACGCTTGCATAATCGATGCGTAAATAAATCAGAATATTCATCTATATATATATATATGTACAAACATATATAAAATTTCACGATGCAGAAATAGACTTTGTAAGACGATTATTCATTCAACATAGGTAATGAAAATCCGATTGATCAGTGAACGTGTTAAACGCATAAGGCATTGCAAGTATAACGTAACTATAATCATTGGTAACTAGCAACGATACGGCCAAGTAGAAACTGAGGATCGAGGCGTATAAGGTTATGTATATGCGTGTGTATAGATTCCTTTCATAATCCGCTAATTATGTAAGACATATTACGTTATAGGCTTTCGAGCAACGTCTGCGCGATTTTGCACCCGAGGTTAGATTACACACCACACCGATATAACCACACACGTATCGCGAATTCTAGGTTTATTGTTCCTCGCGTGCGAAAAATATTCTTCGCGAAACATTCGTCCGTTGTCTTCTCGTACAATATACCAAACGAAACGTTTTAAGTTAAACGACAATGGAAAAGCTAAATGGTGTCGACATATTTTCCACCGGGTGGAAAGATAAATGTTTACGTGTGTGGAAGCCATAGAAGGCGGCACGAATCGTGATTCATACCGGGCTCTATATGTCCGCGCGAAACCGTGTAAACAATTGGTGAGGTCAAAGTCGATGTCGATCGACGCGCAACACTTTGCTCTTCTTCGTTGTTCTCGATGCAAAAATATAGGGGGACGAAGTTTCTCTTTCATCCTCGTCACGTTACAAATCGAAAAGAGGCAAAAAGAAGGAAAAGGTTTCATTACGATATAAAATATTTTTCTCTAGTGAAAAAATATAACAACACGTGGCTGTTCTCCGTGATACGCAATAAAATATCACATCGATCGAGCACTCACCTAATATTGGAGGTACTTCGTTGAACGTCGGCGACAATTCTGCCATTCCCGGTGTCCTCGCCTCTATTCTCGGCAACAACAACGTTCTGTTGTTGTTGATCCTGCTTTTGCCTCTCCTCCTCCGGAGGATGTAACGGAATGATGATATAATCCGGCTCCTTCTTAACCTTCTCCTCGCCGGTCACCTTCGCGCGATTCACTTGGCCGATCGTATCACTCTTTTTTTGCACCTCGGACCGCGGCACTTTCGATCTACCACTGAACCGTAGCCTCGAGAAGCGTTGCAGGAAGCCACCCAATCCACCCTTTTTCCTCTCCTCCTTCACGGTGGTCGCGGACGACGCGTCGACGACCATGTTTCGTTGAAATCTTGCCGCGGACGTGTCGTTGTTCCCAACGATGATGGGCGATGCCGGCGTGACGAACAGCCGCGGTTTCGCGTTGGTGGTGGTCGACATAACAGTCGCCGCGTGGCCCTCCTTCTCGTTGTTGTCCTCGTTGTCGTCTACCCTAACCGGCGCAGTTGTTGCCGCCGCGTTCTCCTCGTGACGTTTGTCGCGATCACCGCGATGATTCGTATCAACTGCCACGGCCACCGCTGGATTCCCACTCCGTTCACCATCGGGTTCCAGGCCGTCGCTGTTGCTGCTACCGCCTGGTGGGGGGCCAACACCAACACCGTGGACACCGTGCTGCTGCTGCTGCTGCTCGTGTTCCCTCGCCTCTCCCGTTCCCTCCTTCTCCCTCTCTCGCTCCTTCTTCTTCTTCCTCTTCTTCTCCTCCTCGTTTTCTTCTTCCCTCTTCGCAACCTTCTCCACGGTAGCCTCCTTCTTCTCCTGCTTCTCCACTATGACCCTCCACAGCAATTCTCCACTACCTACGTTCCTACCGTTGCAAGCCGACGACGATAGGACGGCACTAGGTATCGTCGAAGGACTCTCGTTTTTATCCTCGCTACTCGGATCGTCGATCGGTCGATGATCCTCCGCCTCCTCCCGTTGCTGCAACCGCACGATTTTTTCCGGATAGAAATCACCGATGAACGATCTCTTGGAACAACTGCTCGCCTCGACGACCATCGCGTCGCGATCTGGGTTGTCGGTGATGGTGGTTGTCGTGGTGGTGGTGGTGGTGTAATAGTCCTTCGAAACCGCACTCGAAACCGCGGCCTCGTTACAAGCGTTCGAACCGACGCGTTCCAAGGTTGAGAACGATCGTTGATGAGGAGGCTCGTTGATGCTCGTTTCCTCGGGCTGCGACGCGCTCCCCTCCAGGCTGGAAGTTCCTATTATGGGTTTGGTTTCCAAGCAGGGTAAATCTACCTCGTCGTCTACTGGGGCACGGGCACTAGGATCGTCTCCACAGATTGAAAATGGATCCGAGTTTTTTTTTATCTGGCTCAAAAGCGTCCCCTCCTCCCCCCCCTCCTCACCCCTCTCCCTCTGCCTCTCGGCCGAGAGCCGCTGGCCGAGCTCGTTGATCGGGATCCTGGTGAACGGGGCGGTCGAGAATTGATGAGTCGATATATTCTCCGTGGATTTCGAATACGGCCTGGTGTCCATGTACGAGCGCTCGTACGTGGAGGCTGCGAGATTCGAGGTCGAGCTGCTGCTCATCTGTTGCACCATGTCGGATACCCTGAGCCGCGACGATCTGCCGGCGGCGAGTATCGGCTCCTCGAGCTCGTCGCACGCGTCCATTCGTTGGAAAGCGCCTCTGCATGATTGGAGGGCTTTGATGTAGTCGCACTGCTGGGCCAGCTCGTAGCTGGCGTTGTTCAACACCTTACGTTTACGCCCCGCCACGCTTCTCCCCGCCTTCTCGCCCTCGTTACCGGCCTCCCTTACCCGCCACCGGAAATTCCTCTCGTCTATCTCGAACTGCTGGGCCAGCTCGTAGCTCGCGTTGTTCTTCACCTTCCACGGCCGCGTTTGTTTCCCCCGAGGCGGGCCTCCGTCGATACCGTCGGCCACCGCGTTACCGTTCGAGCTAGCCCCCTCGACCTCGCGTTTCAGCTCCTCGATCCCGTCCACCGCTCGATCCTGAGTCTTGACCGTCGATGTGACTCGTTTCCTCGAGCAATGCTCCCCCCCCACGCACTCCTCCATCCTCGATCTCTCCCCGTTCTCTTCGTCGGCCGTCCTACCGTCCGGAATCGCGTTGTATCCCTGGGTCCTCACCGAGGAGCTCGCGGTCGAACGTTTCTTCTTACTTTTCGCCTCTTCGTCCCCCCCCTCCCCTCCCTCCTCTTCCAAACTCTTCTTCGGCCGCCTGTTCTCGCCGCTCTGCACGCTGCTACTGCTGCTGCTACCGTTCACTTCCGCCATTTCGTAGGCCTCGAGTGCGCTCACTGGACGCGGCGCGTCATCGTGGACGCCGCACAGGTTCAAATCAACGGGTACACTGGCTACCCTCGTGTAATTCTCGAACAGGTTCGAGGTGGAAATCGGGGCGAAGTGGTTCGAGGTAGCGAAGAAGGAGCGCGATGGCACGCGTGCACACTCGTCGACGGTGGTGAGGAGACTGGGCGCGCTTTGAGATTTATCCGTGAATCTAAAATTAAAACAGTCCTCGTTGCTCCACCCTTGACGCTGGTGCTGCTGCTGCTGCTGCTCGTGCTGCTCGTAGCCGTGCAACTGCTGCTGTTGGGTCTGGTGGTAACGATGATGATGATGAAGATGATGATGATGATGATGATGATGATAATGATCGGCGACCATGTTGTTGCGAACGTGCGCCATACCGCCGGCTATATTTAACCTGGTCTGCAACAGGCGAAACGAGCTCGACACGCCTGCCTGGCCCGACTTCAGATCCAACAGGGCGTCCCTCTTCGACTCGACGCCGATCTCACGCAGGTCGATCGTGTTCCTGTAATCCAGTGACGTGGCGTAGTTGCAATCGCCGAACACCATCAGTCGATCCTCGAGCTCCGTGCCTGCCCGACTCTCCTTCGATGCGCGAGGAACTCCCTCCTCGAGGTCCTCCTCTTCTTCTTCTTCGTCGTCGTCATCGTCGTCGTCGTCCTCGTATTCGTCGTCCTCGTGCCAAAAATCCCTGGATTCGATTTGAAAGAGAATATTTTTCCGATGGAATATACGGTTGATTTTGAAGAGAAGAATGGAAGGGAAATATTTAAATTTTGAAACAAGGTTCGATACACGGGTAAATATTTTTATTGCGAGGGAAATAATTTGGAAGGGAAATATTAAAAATTTTTTTTCGATAAATTTCGAAACAAATAGATGTGGAATATTTATTTCCCTGAAGATCGTCGCCTTCTTGCATCGAAAGACTCGAGTCTTCCCCGAAATGAAAAGTCAAGCAGGTCTAATTCAGGGTCGTGATTGCGGTAACTTGGCCAGAGAACGAGGGTCATGTAGCAAGCTCTCGTTGCCAAAGAAAACTTACGACCTCCCTCCCTCCCCCCTCCTATAATCCTAGTTTTGTTTATCTCGCGCCTAACGTTTCGAACGACAAATCGTGCGACAACGATGATTAAAATGTCGGAAATAATCAATTTGATCCGTCCTCCCTTCGAATCGTGCAATGGAAAAAATCTTGCGTAAAAATAAACGTGCCACGAAGCAATGCCAAGACTTAACCAGCTTATAACCGCATTGCGAGGAATTACGTTAAATTTACCGTATGAGACAGATGTCGGTATGGCAGAGAAGTCGCAAGTGGTATGTACTAAAAATTTTTTACCACACGAATTATCCAGAGTGAACTGGACGTATTAATTATCCGAATTAATTAGAATCGAAATAATTTAACCTTATACTTACTCAGTCACTTTTAGTTTACTCCAGTTTATAACTAAAATACAATTAAAAATTAAAAATTACAAATAGAAGAATATCGATAATGAATAATCGCTAAAAATCATAGATGCAACGTTATCCAACGTTCTAAAGCTAACCCGAATATTCTATTTCACTAGCTACTACTCGATATTCGAGACAAGGTACAATTTTTTTCAATCGGGAGAGAAGAATGGTTTATTACCTCGATGGACGGTGGTAGCCATTGCTACGTGTCCTGGACAGCTCAGCGTTTCGTTTCAGGTACAAAGGCGTGAACCCGTTGGTGAGACAACCGTGGCCGAACTCCTCCTCCTCCTTCTGACACGTGTCCAGACTCTCGAAGCTACGGTAAGGCCTGATTCTGGAAAAGTGGTCCACGTTTCCAAAACCATTTGGCAGAGCCTTGTCGTAGTCCTGTTCGAGGCTATCCGGAGACGTGTTGTTCTCGGGATGGGAGGCGTTCGACCGATTCGGATACTCCAACGAGTCGAAGCTGTAGCTGGAGGGCGAGAGAGTGGCGCAGGTCCTCTCCAACGACTCGAATTGAAGCAGGGAGCTGGATCTCGAGGAGGCGGACGATCTCGACGACCTGGGCGACGCCGGATAATCGTCCAACACCGCCTGATGCTGCTCCCTCTCGCTCCCGCCGTTGTACTTGCTCCCCCTTCGCCTCTTCTTCCTCGCCGCCGACGAATTGCACTCGCTCCCGCTCCCGTCCAGCCTTTCGTCTTTCCACAGAAAACAAGAGCAAACGTGGCTGTAATTCTCTTTAATTTATTTATTATTAGCTTCTTTGGTTTACAATTTATTTCTAATTTATAATTATAATATCTGTAATATAAAGTATATTAATTATATACTTTTTCGTTTGCTTTTAGTAATCGCCTTTAATTTGTCAGCTTTTTGGTTTATAATTTATTTTTAATTTATAATTTATATGTGATATAAATATATATTAATTTTTAGTAATCGTCTTTAATTTGTTAGCTTTTTAGTTTATAATTTATTTTTAATTTATGATTTATATATAATATAAACTAATTTTTAATAATCGCCTTTAATTTATTACTTTTTCAGTTTATAATTTATTTTTAATTTATAATTTATATGTGATATAGAGTATATAAATTATATAATTTTTTCATTTGTTTTTAGTAATCGCCTTTAATTTGTTAGCTTTTTAGTTTATATTTTATTTACTTTTTCGTTGTTTTTTTTAGTTGATCGCCTTCAATTTCTTAGCTTTTTGGTTTATAATTTATTTTTAATTTATAATTTATATGTGATATAGAGTATATAAATTATATACTTTTTCATTTGTTTTTAGTAATCGCCTTTAATTTGTTAGCTTTTTAGTTTATATTTTATTTACTTTTTCGTTTGTTTTTTTTAGTTGATCGCCTTCAATTTCTTAGCTTTTTGGTTTATAATTTATTTTTAATTTATAATTATAACATATATAATATAGAGTATATTAATTATTTACTTTTTCATTCGATTTTGGTAATTGCCTTTGATTTATTAGTTTTTCGTTTTTCAATTTATAATTTTTATTAGTGACTTTTCTACTGTGACTTTGTTTTTAGTAACCGTTTTCTAATTTATTAGTTTTTTAATTTATAATTTATTTACTTTTTCGTTTATTTTTAGTTGATCGCCTTTAATTTATAAGCTTTTTGTTTTTTAGTTTGTGATTTATTTACTTTTCCGTTTCTCCGTTCTCAGTAATTGATTTTCATTTATCAGTTTTTTTGTTTATGATTTATTTACTTCTTCGTCATTTACTTTTTGTTTTTTGTTAATCGCCTTTGATCAATCAACTTTCCGTTTTCTTTAGTTTATAATTCATCCACTTTTCCGTTTGTCTTTAGTTGACCGCCTCTAATTTAAATCAGCTTTCTGCTTTTCAGTTTATGATTTATTTACTTTTTCGTTCGCTTTTAGTAATTGGGTGTAAATAAAAATAAATCGGCTCGAACGAAGGGGCAGGGGGGGGGGGAGGGGAAAAGTTTCATGCGTGCCGTGAGAGTAAAAGCGAGACGAAACTTGGCGAACCTACTTTCGACTACGCCAACCTTGTTAAAGCGAAGGCGAAGATTGGCGGGAAGCAAGGAGGTAAAGATGACTCGAAAAGTTTTCGTTCGAGTCTCTTATTCTCTCTCTCTCTCTCTCTCTCTTTATTTCTAACATTCGTATAGACACTTTTTCAGATCAACTGTGCGAATCGCACAGTCTTGTCTGTTAACTTGAACCTTCTTCGAACTCAACGACTCGAGACGAATTCACCTGCACGTTCCGGTGAATTTCTTACGGCTAACTTAAAATGATTTCACGCGCGTGATTCACGCGTAAAACTTTTATATCTTAATACTTTACGTATCTTTATAAGAAAGAAAGAAAATTTGTCGAATATTAACCCTTTACACTCGTATATTTGCATTGATAAATATATGTGTAATATAATTACATTCTAGGGACTTTTGTCACCTTAAATTGGTAACTTTCTTAAATACGAGTGCAAAAGATTAAAGTCTATATAATAAAGCAATTACCAAGATGCGTTCTAAAATGTCGTTCGATATTTTTCACCTTTCTTATTTCATCGAAACCTTACAATCCCAATAACATGCTCTATTATTCTCATTTTTCCCTCTCTCCATCTCTCAACGAACTGTCAACAGTAATTATTCAATAATACGAAAAACCGAACTCATCCTCGCTCCAATTAATTTCATTCCATGCTTACAAAACTCAAAAACTTAATGAAACTTAATACTCTATCACTCATATATATATATAGTTCGATCTAATTCGAGAATAAAAAAAAAAATCATTTGACGATATATTGTTTCATAAGATTATAATTAAAAAAATCGAATAAATATTGTCGCCGTTCGAATTGGCTCGTATTAATCCAAGCGGTGAATATCGTTCGAGTTATCGCGTCGATAACCGCTGAGAGCGCGAAGGGTTAAGGGCGGGCGAGGACGAGAGGCGAAACGTGTCGTCTGCCGTCGATTAACGACCCGTTATCGAGGCCTCGTGTCGCCGATCACGTGTCGCGTCGACGGTCACGAAGCCGACAACCGGTGTAACCGTCGCTTCCGGTTGAACGAACCACGGCTTCCTGGCCGCGACACGGCTACCGCCAACCGGGCCGCCCCTCCTTGCCCCACTTCCGTCGCACGAAGCGGGGAAAAAAGCGTAAAGGGAGCTCCTCGCGTCGAGGAGTATCGATTACACGAAGGAGATCGAGCCTTCGTGTTTCAATTCGTTTCAAAAAACATAGGATCAACGTGGAGAGATTCGAGAATTTTCGAGTCTCGAGGTGCGAAAGCAGCCTTGAAGAACGATATATAGAGCGTGCTTTTCACAATGTCGTTATCGACAATATTGTGCGAGATTCGTTTGCAAAATTATATACTATTAATATAACTTGCACGTGCCGATCGGTGGAAACCGATTCTGGTTGGGGGGGGAGGGGTGGGGAGGTCTGCCAGAAGATTTTTCGGGGAACGCGAATGAAAATAACGCGTTTTCGTTCCCCTCCCCTCCCCTCTTCTTTCCGATCAATCTCTCTCGGCTCGAAATTCTTTTCGGGTCGAGCAATTGAATTTGCCCCGCGATGCATTGTTCTCGTCTCGGTTTATTTTCGCATGATCGCATGCACGTGGAATTCAACGACTAGTCCATGGTAATCCTATATGAATCACGTTGAAGGTGATCTAATATTAGATGCGACGGAAGAGGATCGTGCGTAGAATCGTAGACACGATTGACCTTAACACTGAATTAAAAGAAAAAAAAGAAAAAAAAAAGAAAAAAGAAGGAACTCTATTCGTGCGATAATCGAATAATATATTCTCGATATTGCTTCGAAAATGCTAGTTACATATTTTAATTTATACGCGAATCGATTAATAATTAGTAGGATCGCTTCAATTTGAGAAAAAAAAAAAAGGAAAGAGAATAGTTGGCGAACGGCCAAGATAAATGTTTATATCGCTTCTATTATACACTGTTCTATAATGCAAGTTTCTGCCATTTCCGTCAGATGTCAGTATTTAGTTACACGAGTTTACCGAGATACGTTATCTTTCTTTCGACGTTTGTAGCAAAAACTATAAAAAAAAAAAAAAAAAAATAAAGTTCAATTCGAGCAAATTTTATTTGCGTGCAAAATTTTATTATTAAATTCTTTTGGAAAAATCTAACGATGGGAAATAAAGTATATACAACATGTAAAAAAAATATATATATATATATATATTATTTCTCTTTAAATTCGTTAAACTTCAAAATGTAATAAATCCACGTTCACTTGTTGCGAAACTACAACACGTAATTAGCAAGAGTGATTAACAGGTTCAGAACGAGCCACCTTTCAGCGAGCCAACAGCTTTTAATAAAACGCTTAACGGTACTCTCGATGCGAGAAGGATAGCGGTAAAGACGTAAACAAAAGAGATTAATTGTCTGGGATGCAATTATCGTTCAATTAGAGTAACAAGTGGTTTGAGTCCACTTCCGAGTTAAACCAACTCGGATCAAATTTAAACGTGAGTTTTCCACGTGCGTCCACGTTCCTCATCTATTTGTCGAGGGAACGAGAATGGATCAACGATTATTCCGCGCCGATGAAAAATCGTTTCGACAAATGACCGCTCCTGCAAAAAGGGAGCGCGCGTGATGCAGCGCCCGTGACGCCTGAAGCATAGCAACCGGACATACCGACACGTTACAACGGTCGCATAACCATCATGGATACGAATCTCGTACGTGAACGATAAATTCGAAGAACAAAAAGTAAACCAACCTGTCTTTATTAAACCTGTATTATTCGAAACAATGAATAAAAATATTTTCAAATAAATATTTACGTCTCTTTAATATTACTTTTTTTTTTAATACTACTTGATTTTGAATGTAATTATTGAAAATAAAAAAATTAATAATTTTCTTTCTAACACACAAATCGGACAAGGTTTCAAAGATTTTCTTATTCCTTAGAATCTTCAGAAATCGAAAAATTATTATATTAATATAGATTTCAACGAACTCTCCCGTTATCTATTTATAGATACACTCGATCACAGATATATACGATCGGGTTTCATAAATGAGTTTGTAATAAATGTTTTTGTTATACAAGAAGAAAACGGGTTACGGGATGTGAGTTGTTGGTTTGAATGAAGATACACGGATACGATTTCATTCTTCGGGAGTCAATGAATCGAGGGATCGGGAGCTGAAAGGAGAAAGTAGACCTCGGGTGAACAATGTTCACCATCACGAATACCGACGAGATGCGAGAATGAGGTTTCGCAACGTGTATTCCGAAACGAAATACCGTTCACTTGTTCTTTAATATCGTTGTTGGAACCGTTTTCGAGGTAATCTTATATATAGAGAGTGCAAGTTGTAATCAGAGTAATTATTATCTAACCAGCTATAATAACCAGCAAAACTAACAAAGTAGAATTTAGGACAAGCTGTTGCAACATTTAAAAAGATTTAAAAATTTTATACATACCTATATACACATATTATATATTAATATATATATATATATTACCAAAACCAATGTAACACCTGTTGTTACAAAATTTTGTTTCGAGCGTGAGACCATTTTTAATTAGAAGGTGTAATGAAACAAATGGCACACGGCCACCAAATTGTTCGATCTAGCCAAATTGATATTCGACATCCTGGTCCAAAAACTCTCTGGTTTTATTTTTAGACTTTTATTGGGTTGGATAACTTTTTTTTTTTTTAATTATAATCTATAGCGGTCAAGCGAGCTTCGATGAAAAGAATTTTAATCCAAGAAAAAAATTTGCACGCCTTCGTAACTTTAACGTTGTGTACCTCTTACCAGCTAATCTATTCGCTCGTATGTGTATCACGCTTTCGGTTTCGGAGTCCGAGCCGACCCAGTAAGTGGTTCCACTTCGATCGGAATCGCTTTGCAGATCGTCGGACGTTTCTTCTAAAATGGTCTCCAGAAAATCCACTTGTTGCACCAGCACCGTATCTGTGAAAGCGGAGAGATTTTTAATAAACGAATTTTTTTAATAAACGATTGAAAAAAAATTTATTTATATTTCGATCGAGCCGTGGAAATTTTTATTTCGAATAGTTTGGAGACGAATGAGTAATATACAATAAACGCGAAGTCGTCTTTTTCGTAGGAGCAAGGTTATCGCTTGAAGAATCAAGAATAACACCGCCATGTTTTTCTTATGTAATATGATACACACGAGCAACGAACGAGCAATGCCATTAAGTTCCAACGGTCGTACGTTTCGTGGAATTCCATGAATTTGAAACACATTTTATTCCATTAATTATTAATTGAAAACTATTGTGTGTATATCGTGTATTCTCCCACGATATTTATCTATAAGCAATAATAATAAAAGAGTGAAACATTAGATATTAATAAATTTATAAGACCACTGTTACTATCGCTAATCTCCTTTCAATCTTGGTTTATAATATTTCTCCCATATATTTAATTTTACTTGCCTATTTTCAGTTTCGTTTTATCGCTTCGTGGGATAATTTCCACTTGCTACTTCAAACACGATATTTCGGATAAAAGTGTTTACAAATAAGTTAGCTAGCTATATGAACGAATATTACGGTATGGTAAACACTACGACTAGTGAGATCTATGCTAACGCAGTTCTTATCTAAAAGTTATTCATACATAAAAATAACTACTGTAACTTATACGTTATATATTAGTCATCGATGATATTTCGAGAATAAATGTAACAAGTAAAAAATAATAGTGTCCGTGTTTGAAGTACAAAGTACAATTAAAAATTATTTTCCACTGTTTCTGAATTAATTATAGAAAAATTTTTTATCAAGCAAATGGCACACAGGTTACTCGCGACAGGTTACTGAACGTTCTTCGCCTTGCGAATACACCGACGGTCCACTGGTTGCCTGCGTACAGGCGTTTCTGGCGGTGAATTAAAATTGCTCGAAACAAGAGAAGTAAAATACAATATTCAACGTAGTTAAGAATTTGTACGGAAATATCTTATCGTACTGAAACTCGTTTTATATAAGAGAAAATAAAATTAATTGCGAATAAATAAAATAAAATATATATTTCTCGTATAAACGAAGAGGGAGTAAACGAAGAAGAATATTCCGTGAAAATTTCTAATCTAAGAAACATTTGATTTTACACCACGCAAGAAACTTAGTATTAATGTTTATCCTTCGTAATAGGATATAATAATACATAATGAAACACGATTATTTCTCGTATAATTATCGAATTAATCGATCCATCGTGAGAAAAAATATAAATTCACGCATAGAATGCAACTTTTTCTCCAAATAACGTATGTAAACCTTGTTCGAAATGTTTGAAATTTTGTAACTTGACTCGGTCGGGTCAAGTGATAAAGTTATCGAATTGAATATTTCATATTTTTTAGCGAAATATAAAATGAAGCGACGTTTCGACAGATTTCGATATGAAGGAATAACACGAAAGATAAAGAAAATATATATATATATCGATATAAACGAAATTATAATCACAAATAAAAAGAGAAACACGTCCGATTTCCACATTGGTGGCCAATGTTGAATATAATTATGAATATTGTTCCTCTCTCGTATTTTATAAATCGCTCGTTCGATTCTTTTTTTTTTTTTCCAAAGAAAAAACGATCGATAATCGTTAAATAGCTTGAACGTGTGGTGATGACGCATACACGTTATGTCATTGGAGATTTTTCATTTGACGCTTCGATTCGAATTCTTATGGATTCACCGCTATTTTAACGCGCAAACAAACCTGTCCTTCCATCCACTCGTTTTGCTGAATGTTCGTAGGAATGATCCGACGATACAAAGATCCGTTCGACGATGGCCAAGTTGACAATTAAACAAGCCGAGTGATAAATTTACACGTCTTTCTCCATCCTGTTCCTGAATTTTTTTTTGAAATACCATAAACAACGTAATACTCTATTTCAGAATATATTCCCTTTTTCCAACTTGAGAAGAAACAAATTATAAAGTTAACGATCGTTTCGAGGTGAGAGAAATCAAGCCGTAGAAGCGTCGATTTTTTTTTTGAAAATCGATTCTAATTGGTAATACAAAAATATCGCAACGAGGTTTATTTTATTGACTCGTAAATAATTTCGCTTCGTCAAAATTTTAACGATCGGTACTAAATTACTTCGATAAGTCGTTGTTATAATAGCTGTAAATGTTATTCAAATATTTATTAACAAAATACCTTTTCAAATAAACCTTCATCTAATTTAATACAATTTAATTTAACATTCCAACTGCCACCAAAATTCCACGTTTATTTCTATTATCGATATGAAAATTTTGTTTTGACAAAATTAATATCTCATCTTTTTAATCTACAATTATAATTTACGTAAAATAAACTCAACCGAGAGACTTTCCTGTGTCAACTTTTGCTTCAAACCTTGTTCCACAAATATACGTCGACACCCTGTATATACGAGTTATTATTAATATTTCTTTTTAATCTACAATTACAATTTATACGAATTATTACTAATATCTCATCACGACTCTTTTTAATCTACAATCATAATTTACGTAAAATAAATTCAATCGAGAGACTTTCGTGTGTTAACTTTTGCTTCAAACTTTGTTCCACGAATATATCGACACCCTGTATATACGAATTATTACTAATATCTCATCACGACTCTTTTTAATCTACAATT